GGGCAGCAGCATCGTGTGCTGCTCTCCCTCAGAGGATAGCTGGCATTATGGTATGTAAAGTGCCACCCAAAGCACTAGGGTCCATATAAAAAAGTTCATCAGAAATTGATGTCATAAAGAAGCATATGCCTAACAAAAGAGGTACGAGATACAACATATGCCAACAGAAGAGGTGCGAGGACAACTCAAGGTAGAAGTCGAGAGAGAGTGAAGTGAAGAACCATCAATGCTACAGAAACAGATAAAAAGCTGGGAAAGAACAGTCCATCATTGAGGGACTCTTATTTGACACAACAAGTGTCAGGGTGGTCTCCCAGTTCGCCATCTTATCCTACCAAGCCATGCTGCCTTCCACCATGGACTCGAGTTTCCTGCTGAGCTCTCAATATCTAGACAACTGATCTTAAATTTTCATCACCGTTTCATTCTGTCTATGCTTCATCTGGGGTGCCCTGAAGACACTCTTTCTTCCTACTCCACAGGGCGACACAGGAAGCCATGCCACACACAGAAGACTCACTCCTGGTCCTGCAGATGTTGGTCTGATATAAACACAGGCTTTGACATGACCAGGACGAGGGTCGGGAGTTCCAGTTCTGTGCCAGCCACCTCCCACAAAGACCCTAGGGTTCAAGGCCGGAGAGTAGGTTCACCCGGAGCTCCAACCAGACCCAGCCTTCAGCCACCCTCCAGCCCCTCCCCAGGTCCTGGATCCTGGAAGGCATCTTGCAGTCCCAGGTCTGCCAGGGAGCTCCACTCTAAGCCAACTCCAGACAAGGGCCGTCCAACAAGACACACAAGTACGGTAACAGAAGCAGAAGGGGCAGGAATGGAAGAAACCAGCCTAAGAACGTAATCATTTCAACTTAGTTCCACTGATAACAGAACTGTAAAAATCATAAAACTCCAAAATTAGTTAAAAATACAATGAAAAAGCAACAACAGAAATTAATGTGTCTTATTTACCTCAGTTATTCTCGAATTCAAGCTCCATGAAGGCAGGACTCTGCCTACTCTGCTCACTGCTTTATCTCCCACAGAAATCAACCTGACACAGCTAGCCAGATTTAGTAATAGATGCTTTTTTAGCCACTTACTTTTTCTTCAGTTTTTCTTTCTATTTTTCCCTATATTTTACTCTTAATACTAGGTGAAACACATAATATTGTATGCTGACTTCTTACATGCAATGATATTACTGAGTTCCATTTTCCTGAATAACAAAGAGAGGTAGAAGGAATTTCATATTAATCTAGTTCCATACTGTCATGTTCCCTTCTGACTTGGCACAGTATGTCATTTCTTAGATTTCGTCGTCATGAAATTTTTTTATGAACTGTTCTCAAAAACACACAGTGTTTGTTCTTAATATTTGCGGTTAAGAATTAATGATATTAGGGCTAGAGTTGTGGCTCAGTGGTAGAGCACGTGCCTAGCATGTATGAGGTCCTGGGTTCGATTCTCAGCATTGCATATAAATAAATAAAGGTCCATCAACAACTAAAAGAATATTTGGGCTGGGGCTCAGTGGTAGAGAGCTCACCTAGCACATATGAGGGACTGGGTTTGATCCACAGCACCACAAAACGGTAAATAAATAAAATAAAAGTATTGTGTCCATCTATAACTAACAAATATTTTAAAAAATAATAATTGATATTAAAAAAATTTCATG